TTTTACATATTTGAAATTTTTATTGTCATTTACATTGTGTTTACCTTCAATATTTAGAATTATTCAAGGAATGTAAAAAGATTTTGAGTTTATTAGTAACAGGTTTGATATCATTTGTCAGATTGGTATGTTTATTTTCTAAAAATGAGAACATGGTTTAAAATGTGAAGCACCAGTTTGTTAAAATTTTAATTTTTCACAGTGAAAGTTTTCCAAATAGGATTTGGATATTTATCATACATCATGAATATTATAATATATGTAAAGTATAGCATTAAATGTAAAATAGTCTGGCATGGCAGTTTTCCCAACTAAAAATAAGTTGTCCTCAATATGAATCAGATATCTCTATACCTCTAACACTGGAAATTAAATTTTCATGTAGTGTAAAATTCTGTTCCTGTTAAAGGAAATACTGCCCAGGATGTAAATTTAGATATAGTAAGTTATGTCCAAATTTCTAATGTTGGAGATATCACTATACTAGTCAAAACAAAACAGTATTAACAGAACTTTTCAGACTGTAGGCATCCTTTTGTAAAAACAGAACGACCGTTCTCTTCTTTTATATAATGTTGAAGAAACAAAAGTTTGTTGAGTATGAAAACTTGAGACCAATTGGTAATTTTTTAAGTGAAGTTAGAATCAAAATTAGCCTGATCCTCTTGGTGGTTATGATTCTCAGATTCATCCACTGTTCTGTTTTGTTTGTTTTCAGTGTAGAGCCCATAGGTTCCTCTTGGAAGCATAGAGGGCACTGATGGCAGGCCTATCTCACAAATGATCCCTCTAGTGGGCCTGATTCTTTTTAAATTAGATCCTAAGCTAAGCCAACTCACGTTTAGTCACTGAGTCCCAAACATTTCCTGTCCATCTTTCTTTCTTGATGTCTTCTTTTAGAGTACTTTCCACATGCACAGTGCCCCACATTTCAATGAGGCATTGCCAGTAATGAATAGTTGTTCAGAGTTTTGTGCTTTCACAGGTGAAAAAGATGCCTGAGACAGAGAAAGCCAGTTTTTCCCCTTTATATATTGTGTAGATCCAGTGTTCACTTGCCACCTCAGTTATTTGGCTGTAGAGCTAACATTTTAGCACTCTCCAGTATAATAAATCTTCAGTATTATTGAGACCTTTGGAAAATATGAAATTTAAGAATGGTTTTATAACAGGGTTTGGTTTTTTTTTGCTCATAAAATTCATATACAGAGGATAAAAACAAAACTGTATTGTTTTAATACTTAGTCTTAGGCCTTTGAATAGGTTAAACATGAACTAATTAAAGGTCTTATTCCTAGACACCAGCTGGAATTGTAGTTCTGTGAAATTTGTGCATAAGAGAATGGCAAGTTATATTTTGAAAGATTTGGAGAAGTAGTACTAAGGGTTCTTTGGGGGAAGGAGGAGCAGTTTCTAATTTGACAAGTCTTAATATTAAAAAGATACTTATTTCTCATTAGGAATATGAACTCATTTTCCTCATTTCATATTTCTTTGGAATTTTTAGCAGTTAGTGACAAAAAACTATAAAATCAAAACCAGAGCTACATCATGACATTGAATATGTGATGTTATTTCTCTACTCATTTATTCTAATGTTCATAGTCTTATATCTGAAGCTATTTAAAAGAACACTAAAACTCCCAATTTGCTTTTCCTCTGGACAATATTTAATATGTATCATTAATCTGAAAATCAACTTAAATTATAGTGGTCTGTCTTATCTAGTGATTTCTAACCAAGGTGATTATGCCTTCCTAGGGATATTGGCAAAGTCTGTAGACATTTTTGGTTGTTAGAACTAGAGGATGCTACTGGTGTCTAGAGGTTAGGGATCTTATTAAATAGCCTACAGTATATAACCCCTCATAACAGATTGGTACCATTAAAAATACTACTGTAGTTTTAAGCATCATGATTCTTACCCCTTCATGTTTAAAACACTAGAAAAACTAGGCATAGTAGGAACATACCTCAACATTGTAAAAGCTATCTATGCTAATCCCAAGGCCAACATTATTCTAAATGGAGAAAAATTGAAAGCATTCCCTCTAAAAACTAGAAAAAGACAGGGATGTCCTCTTTCACCACTTTTATTCAACATAGTCCTTGAAACTCTAGCCAGAGTGGTCAGACAGATGAAAGAAATTAAAGGGATATGAATAGGAAAAAGAAAAACTATCATTATTTTCCGATGACATGATTCTATATTTAGAAGATCCAAAAAAATTCCACCAGAAGACTTCTAGAACTAATATATGAATTCAGCAAGTAGCAGGATATAAAATTAACACCCATAAATCAGATGCATTTCTATACATCACATAGAGCACTTATCTCCAGGATATGTAAAGAACTCAAAAAACTTAACACCAAAAAAACCAAATCACTCAATCAACAAATGGACAAGGAACTGAACAGACATTTCACAGAAGAAGAAATACAATCGATCAAAAAACATCTGAAAAAAATGTTCATCATCTCTAGCAATTAGAGAAATGCAAATCAAAACTGCCCTAAGATTTCATCTCACTTTAGTCAGATGGCAATTATCATGAATACAAGCAATTATAAGTTTTGACAAGAATGTAGAGGAAAAGGTACACTTATATATAGCTGGTGGGACTGCAATTTGGTGCAACTGTTATGGAAGACGGTATGGAGAGTCCTCAGAAAACTTGGAATGAAACCACCAGTTGACCCAGCTATCCCACTCCTTGGTTTATATCCAAAGGACTTGGTAAAATCAGCATACTATAGTGACACAGCCACATCAATGTTTATAGCAGCTCAATTCACAATAGCTAAACTATGGAACCAACCTAGATGCCCTTCAACAGATGAATGGATAAAGAAAATGTGGTACATATACACAGTGGAATATTACTCAGCCTTAAAGAAGAATGAAATGATGACATTTGGTGGTAAATGGATGGAACTAGAGAATATCATGCTAAGTAAAGTAAGCCAATCCCCAAAAATAAAAAATCAAAAGTTTTCTCTAATAAGCTTATGCTGATCCATATTTGGGGGTGGAAGGATAGGCAAGAATGAAGGAACTTTGGATTGTGCAGTGAGGAGTGAGGGTAGGGACTGTGGGGATGGGAAGGATGGTAGAATGAGACAGACATTATTACCCTATATACATGTATGATTACACTACTGGTGTGACTCTGCACCATGTACAGCTAGAGGAATGAGAAGTTGTGCTCCATTTGTGTACAATGTGTCAAATTGCATTTTACTGTCATATATAACTAATTAGAACAAATTTTAAAAATTAAAAAAATAAAAATAATTACCCCTCTCCCCCAAAAGAGTCATGAATCTCAATAATTTCAATTTAAAAAAATATTTTTAAAATTGTAGATGGACACAATGCCTTTATTTTATTTATTTATTTTTATGTGGTGCTGAGGATCAAACCCAGTTCCTCACACTTGCCACAAGTTCGCTACCATTGAGCCACAACCCCAGCCCCATCAATTTCAATTTTTTGATCATTTTTATTTCTACAGTGACTTTTCCTAGATACCTATAGAAATAAATCATGTTGTACCATCTTTAATCTCTTTAGTGTGGCACAAAGAACATAATCATTTAATACTTCTGAATTAGGAAGAAAAAATATCATTGTCTGAATATCATGTAAGTAAATAAGCCAAATTAAAAATAGAACAACTAAACATGGGTAAATCCACATCTGAAATAGCATCAACAACAATTTACCCACTGAATTTTCACATTATTCTTGGATGATAGATACTATTATACTGACTTTTTAAAATATCTCCTCATTAGCAATTCCCACCATGGGAAAATAATTTATTATTTATAGTTTTATATTTGCAGATAGATTATTTTAGGGACAAGTAAAACACATTTGAGGATTAAGTCTGTTTGGAATTTGAATATTCTGAAACATCTACAAGAAAGATCTTCCCTTACTGGAACTTCTCTAAATTCAGAAGCTCTCCAAGCTTCCCTTCCTAGGATTTAGAAATCTGTAATCTGAGATTTCAACATCTCCTAATTTTAAAATTTCTCTATGATATGTAACCATTAGTATCTGATATCAACTGAACAGACAGGGAAGTTTCCAAAAATTAAATACTAATTTTCTGCAAAGTCTTTACTCATAAATTAACAGTCATTCCCTTTGTTTATTATTCCCAAGACAAATACAGAAGTATGATCATATATGGATACTACTTAAATTGAATTTTCTTTAAAAGATTGACAAATTAAAAGGCAAAAGCTGATATATGAAGTTTTTTTCATTTTTTTTTGGGGGGGGGGGTGATACCGGGGATTGAACTCGGGCACTCAACCACTGAACCACATCCCCAGCCCTATTTTTAAAATTTATTTATTTTAATTTGTTATACATGACAGCAAAATGCATTTCTCATAGTAGACACAGAGCATAATTTTTCATGTCTCTAGTGACTCTACAGAAGGTAGAGTCACCCCATTTGTGTCTTCAAACATATATTTAGGGTAATGATGTCCATCTTATCCCACTGTCTTTCCTATCCCTTTGCCCCCTCCCTTCCCCTACCTCCCCTTTGCCCTATTCTAAAGTTCCTCCATTCGTACCATATCCTCCCCCATCCCCATTATGGATCAGCGTCTACATATCAGAGAAAACATTCTGCATTTGGTTTTTTTGGGGATCACTGTCCTATTTTGTATTTTATTTAGAGACAGGGTCTCACTGAGTTGTTCAGGGCCTCTCTCGCTGTTGCTGAGGCTGGCTTTGAACTTGTGATCCTCCTGTCTCAGCCTCCCCAACCACTGGGATCATAATCATGCGTCACCGTGCCGGAATTGAAGTTTAAATATACTATGAATCTTATGAGCTAGGGAACAACCAGTAACTCATCAGAATACAGAACTTGGTCTCATAATTTCTTGGATACACTTCGTCTCACACCTTTTCCATGATGAAATTGCAAAATAACCATGTGATTAGAAGATTTTTCCACTGATGGACTTACCTGTTACTTCTTTCCTACTGTGAAATGAATGGCATGACAGAGCAGAGGCAAGGAGGCATATAATGAGTTCTTAAAGGATTGAGTCAAAAAGGTCAGAGTTTCCACAGCATGGTGACAGCTTTGCAGATGCTCACATCAGGATAGCTGAAATAACAAAGACCAGCAAAGGTTAAAGCTGAGAGTACCAAAAGGCCTGCTTTGGCAGCTTTCTGCAATGCATCCCCATGAACATAGTAACAACTTATCCAAGGCCCCAGTGACTAGGGAGAGTGAGGACTATAGCCAGGAAATAGTACATTGCAGAGCAATGATTGAAATGCCCCTGAAGTAGGCCCCAAAGCTGAACACAGACAAACCTTTTGCTAGTCCAATGGAGAGATGCAGTCTTGGAATCAGAATGGCAGCTTGGTAACAGGTGAATGTGCTGTGTGTTCTACACCATCCTGGGATAGGTTGGTCCTGGAGAAATGGCAAGACATGAGCATTTTGACCATTGGAGTTTGATGGAATAGAACTTGGCCTCCCTGAGCACCACAGAGGACATTCAGTCTCAAGAGAACTGCCATCTTGCTTTTGAGCCTATTGTACTGATTTTATAGTATAGTAGTATTTTGACAGTTTTTGTGATCAAAATGTTGCTGTTTACCATAGCCAAATTACTTAGCTTCATGATACCTTGTTTTTTTTTAAAAAAAAAAAATATTTGTATTTGTTCTTTTTAGTTATTTGTGACTAAATGTATTTTTGACATATTATATATATACATACATGGAGTATAACTTCCCATTCTTGTGGTTGTATATAATATGGAATTACATTGGTCATGTATTCATATATGAACATTGGAAAGTTATGTCAGATTCATTCTACTGTCTTTCCTATTCCCATCTCCTCTCCCTTCCCTTCATACCTTGTTATTTTGTTTAAAAAAAAAATGTGTGTATGTGTGTATGTATGTATTAGAGGCTGAGGATGTGGCTCAGTGGTACAATAATCGTCTAACATGTATGAGGTTCTGGGTTCAAACCCCAGCACTACAAAAACAACAACAACAAAAAAACCAGGGCTAGATTGCCCCTGCTGCACTTCCGATTTTAACATTCGAAATAGCTTTTAGTAAGATGTAAAGATTCCTCAAATTGCTCATTTAGCTTCTTAGTCATTGTTCACAGATGAGACAGTAAAAAATTAGAAGTTAACTACTGCCACTCATGCTTTTCAAAATAAGTAGTATAATATGTGGTGAAATGAACCGGATTTAGGGCAGGAAGTTGATGTGCATCTGATACCCTCCCCTGCTTTTTTAAAAGATGGATACTTGTTTATATCATTGTTTAAATTTGAATAAGAATTTAGTTCTTAGTAAATAAAGCTTGTTTAATTTTATCAAGACAGAAGCCTGTTCATTTATTTTTGCATTCAAATGGAGTTTAATATGAAGGTCTTCATTTTGGGACTTAGGGAATGTTGTATATAGACTTCAGTGTCCTATGATCAGGACCATAGAAAAATACTTTTATATTAAATTACAAAGCTAGGCATTGTTTTCACATGCTAATAGATGGACTTTAAATTTGTATTTATTTTTAATCTGTTGCCTAGTATTAAAATAAATTTGGATACCAGCAGCTCATAATAGTTAATAGCCTATATAAATGAGTCCCAAGACACCTGTTCCTTTATTGTTAATGAATCCCAATTATATGTGCAGGAAGAGAAGAGTTCCTGTTGATTCTTTGTCCTAGCACATCTCCCTGTCTCCTGTGTGCATATTTAAATGACATTAAGAAATGTTGTTTCCTCTTGTTTTCTGTCATCTCTAGAATTCTGCCAGACACACTTAGTCTCTTTAATAGGTTATTTGTTCCTAAATGCATTAGGGTGGTATTTTTCCTGTTTTGTGTGTTTTGATTTTTTTTTTTTTAGAATTCAACCTCAATCATGTTTTATTATGGGATTTGATGTAAAATTATTGTGAGTTAATAGCACCAGATACACAAATAGCCAAATAAAGTTTCTCAAGGAAAGAATAAATGACTTATGGAAATTTTAGTAGTCTGTGGATATGTAAGAAAACAAACAAATGTAGAAATCAATTCCAAGGTCATTGTATGGTCATGTTTTATCCTCTGAGATTACTTAATTGTACCTCTTTGTATTTTCCATCACTGGCAATTTGGAGAGTTTATAATTATTTTTTTTTCCTATTTACTATTTCATATCAAGCAAATAAGTCAGTTGTCTTTTTGTAAGTAAATTGAAAGGAGAAAGCCATATAGATAAAGAACTATTATCACAAGCTACCAGATAATAGTTATTTTTCTTTATGTAGAATTTTGTTATGAACATATAGCTTGAAATAATGTTTGTGATCTATGTCATTGATGTCTATTCATTTTAGGGGACAGCATATTAATAGGTTTTTAAAACATGTTTAGAAGGAGTGCTATAGAAGAACGTAGGTGTCCTTTTTATCTTTGGAGTATTCCCTTCTCCGAAACCTGAATTTTCATTTCATTACTGTTGATGATAGTTTAAAGGTCATTCTTTTAATAGGTTGTTTGTTCCTAAATGCATTAGGGTGGTATGAAATCTGTGATTATGATATCATAGTATGATATAAGACTATGATATCTGTGAAATAATAAGTGAGAATTATACTGCTGATCATTTCAGTCAGTTCTTCAGAATATCTTTTAAGTGTCTGGAAAACCCAGCAGCATTTATTTTGTTCAGTGTGCAGAATACATCATAACCAGCTGACATACTATGAGTGCATCCTGAAAGGAATGAAAATAAATTACTATTCACAAATCTTCTTGGCGGTGACAATATTGCTAACAGGAACATTACCATTTGGAATAGTTCAGGGGGAAAGTTCTTTCACATCTCTGAACTATATTTTGTTGAACCCTTTTATAATTTTTTTTTATCATACCGAATAATTCAGCATAACAATGTCTGTTTCTTCAGTCTTATGCCCCTCTCTAATGAAACATTGAATGCTGTGTCCTGTAGAGTTGGAGCGGTGATTTGCAATCCCTTGCTCATTAGGGGAAAGAGAAACATGGGCCACAGTCTCGGGTGTTTTGTTTTTTGTTTTGTTTTGTTTTTAAACCATGGCAGCATCTTAGAATTATCTGAGGAACCTTTCCTCTGCCTGTGCTGGGGATTGAACCCAGGGCCTCATGCATTCTAGGCAGGGACCTACCACTGAGCTACATCCCCAGCTCCTGAAGGGTATGTTTAAAATACACATGCTTGGGCCCTACCACCAGAGATTCTGGCTAAATTGGCATAAGTTGGGAATGTATTGTTATATTTATTGCTCTTGAGGGGTTCTGTTTTGCTGAGAACCACTCTTAGATGGGCACCTCTTAGAAGAAGTTAAGCTAAACAAGAGCAATTAGTTTCTAAATAGTGTTCCATACTGGGAGTTCCACAGAAGGAGGCAAACTGAAGACCCTGTGAAAAGGGCTTCTAGTTTGCAGCCACTGAGGCAGTGATCACTCACTGGAGGTAGGCATGTTTGTTGGGTGGATGAGCTCGAGGATGGGAGATGCTGTAGCCCCACATGAAAAAGGAGATGCTTTCCTAGGCTTTAATAATTTCTAAATTTACATTATGGCATAGTAGTTTATCTAGGATAATTTAGAAAACATTTTCCCTTTTTTGAGTCAAATGTAAACCTAGAACAGTATCTAAATGAAATCTTTTAATTAAAAAAAAAATTTTTTTAGTTGAGCCATAATATACGTCACATCATCTAAATTTACTTTTATAAATATACGTACTTCTTTTCTGAATTGCCAACATGGATTGTCCTGAACCGTGAAATACCTCACTTCCAATGAACTTAATTTTGCATAAGAAGTATAGGAAGAATGTATAAATGGTACAAATCAGCAAATTTAAAGATATATACCCGAGTAGAACTTTAAAGGAGGGAGAATTTCAAAGTACAATTTACCAGGGGCTGGGGTTGTGACTCAGTGGTAGAGTGCCCATCTAGCATGTGCGGGGTGCTGGGCTCGATCCTCAGCACCACATAAAAATAAAATAAAGGCATTGTGTCCAACTACAACTTTAAAAAAACCCCAAAATATTAAAAGTACTATTTACCAAATATTGTAATTGTATTAAAAATGGCCATTTATATAATTAAAAATAGTCAATATTGTACTGAATTTTTCAGAGGTAAGCATTCTTCAACCTTGCTTGGAAAATACATCAAGGCCTCTCAACTGAGCTTAATAAGGTTTCCTGGTGCCCTGGTGGAGCCTTAGATTCATGGCTAGTCCCTTGGAACTGATTTCCTTATTAATACGGGGTCACTGCTTATAATGGGTTGATAATACATGCAGAAATTGCCTGTTCAAACTTTTACTACAAGATTAATCACATTTGTAGTTTTTTGGCTGCTTTGGTTTTCTAATAAGTAGTATCTAGCAACTTACCACATTGGAATTCAGAACACCTGTATTTTTAAAAGCCACTACTATATACATGGAATGGAATCTGATTTTTAAACAGTTTACAATTTGCTTTTACAGTCTATCATTTATTGTAAGGAGACTCTTCATGTTTCTTAATTTCTCATTTTCTGTAAGAAAAAATGGCAAAAGAATATAATTTTGGACATGATTCCAATTTTATTATCTCAGTCCATTATTTGTTCCTCATCAGATTCATATTTGTGGTTGTATGCCCTGCATGGCAAGTGCCGAGAAAACATTTGTACAACCATACAACGTTGTGCCAAGGAAGACTGTTGACTCTGGAATATAGTGACTTCACTGTTCAAGATATTCATGTGTTTATTAAAAGAGAGGAATAAAAACACCAGATACTAGTTAATTATATTCATTTGAATTACTACATCTTGTGATTAGTATATTACATTTTATTAAATAGTTTAAGTATATTCAATACAGTATTACAGCAGTTTTATTGATATACTGGCAAAGAAACAAACATGACCACTCTTTACCATCTGTTTATAATGCTATATAAAGAAGACCATGTTGGTTGCCATGGAAACTACATTTCTAAAACCACTTAGTGTTTGCTTAAATTCTCCAGTCTTTTAAAGTCATAAGCTTTTTCTGAGAAAAAGAATAGAAAAATACATTTTAAAATGTACAGTGATTTTTTTTTTCTAAAAGTCTTTTTTCAGTAAAATTCATTTATGTTTAAGCTGATATTTTGCATCAGGATTTCATGAATTAAATTGAAGGGCTCTTAATTTGAGAATCTTTGGTATTTTCAGAAACTGGGGAGAAAATGTTAATGCTATCCTATTGAGTGGTGCCAATAATCTTTTTATAGGCAAATACTTTGCTTTTTCAGAAAAAAACTTTTTATTGGTATAATAATAAAAAGGAGTCTGAAGAGTAACAAATGTAATCATACGGTATTTGAGGAGGAAAGGCGGCTGTAATGTAATTACAGTGGCTAACCATGTTTTGTTATTTCTGTCATATTAGCTAATATGAGAAAAATTATAGCAGGGGAGTACTTAGCTTTAAACAGAATGGTTCAGACTTTTAAAAGTGTGGCTATTAAA